TTGGCGACTTGCTTTGACCAAATTGAGTCTGAGCAGGTTGTTGCACTTGTTTATAGGCTGTGGGTCTGTGAACTATGATGCAAGCAACACGCGACTCACACGATTGTCACCTCTAGCGAGAATTTCGGTCTCACTAGATTTGAACGTGTGACCGGGTCTCGTCGAATGAGCCGCAACTTGAGAATTTTCGTTATTTCCCCGCATTGCTGCCACATGTTCGACAATTCGCGTCTTGAGAAGTCTCCCAGTTTCCTCAATGTAGTTGCTTTGTCCGCAACTGCACCAGATCCTATAGGCAACTCCAAATGTTTCTTGCCGTAGCAGTGAGTATTTTGGTTTCATTTTCTGACACATTTTGGTTGCCTCCGGCTTGTGTGCGAGTCCAAATCCAAATGGGGCGAGAAGGCGACCGACGGCATCCGAGACGTTTTTGACCTGCGGAATCGGTCTCTCAAATTTGGGGTGGGTGTGATTTTGTTACGAATCTTGTTTGCGCATGCACCTATTAACGTTGACCATTGTCGTGTGGCATCGTCGTTGCGAGTGTATATATTTTTGAGTTCCGTCCGTCCTTTGAGTTTTCCGCTTAACGCTCTGACGCAGCTAGGCTATAGTAGTCATTGTTTTGTCTTTTACAAAACTTTTAAATAGGTTATAAAGTTTGACGCTGTTTTGTCAGCCTACAGACGCCTCATCGCATTGTATTTGTCTGGATATTTCTGAATTGACCATTTTTTCAAATTCTTAATCCAAGATCTGTCGAGCTTGACTTTAGGACTTGTAATAACCACCCTGTCTTGAACTAACGGATTTGAACCAATGCATTTACCGTACGTCCAAGCTTGTTTACAGGCTGCCACATTAAAAGGTCCTAGGACTTCGGGAGGTACTTTTTACCCAGCATTTGTTGAACAACTACGAAACGGATGTTATGTCGCTAATGTTCAAGGAACCACTTGCATAATTGCTACAAAGGAAAGGATAGCTTAGGTACCCTTTCGACTAGGAAAGTTCATGACCAAATTACTCACAACAAGAATTGCAATCCAAGTTTAGCTAGGGTTTTTTCCAGTTTTTTTAAGTTTAATTTCATACATACCATTTATTCTATAATGACGAATCAGTAGAAATTCCTGGATCTCAGGTGTACGTTGATTCCAAAAGCGCAGAATCATCGGCACTTTCATATTTTATTATTATTCATGATATGTTAGTTTTTTTTCTATTGGACCAACGCATAATCCACTCAGTTAAGTTGAAAATTCGAAAATATAATTAACTTTTTACTTCGCACTAAGTGTTTTATTGAAACGATGGAGTACGATTTGTCTGCATCGGTATTCGGCCTTTTAAATTAACATTTTACTTTTTTTCGATATTTAAAAGGCAAATAATGCAGCTTAGGCAGCCGGAAAATTTTACGAAACTTTCATAAACTTTGTTTTCCAAACTATTAGCCTAGCTATTCCGGCACTCCTATCGTTTTACTCCTCTCCCTTCAGTTTTTGCCCAAACTTTGACGCTAGAAATTTACAAATTCTTCTAAAGTTCAAGAGTATATTCGAAAATGGAAAAAAGTCCTGCGGGGAGAAAAAAATACCAACCACGCCAACGAATGCTGGCTGAAACTCTCTGGATACATTTAGGGTGCTGGATTCTCCTCTCCTGAATTGACCGTATGACTCGCTGCCGATGGCAGGTATGCCAGTAATCCTCCCCTCTTGGAAATGAGTTTCGAAGACAAGGTAGGCTCGGCTAACTATTTCTGGCCTATTAACCGTCTTCAGTCAGTCAGATTCCAACCATTAAATTGGAAGTCGGGGAAAACATCTCCGACTCCTTGGTTACCGAGTGCTAAGTTCAACGTTCGACTATTCATGTATGGGAAATTTGCTAATCTGATTACAGTATGGGACCTGCTCGTCCCATTGTGCCATAGAACTCAGTTTAGATCCCTTACAAACAGTAGCACAGCGGCCCACAAAGATGGAGAACCAATCGCGGATTGACGGCTAACCGGCTAACGACAACTGATTAGTCAGGCATTGTCATTCCAGCCTTCTTTGACTCTGTACATATTTATTCTGCATTTTAATTTCTCCCAGGCGGCTGCCTGCAGGGTTCTAGATGAGACCTGAAATGAATTTTCTGTTCTGTGACCAGACCAGTAAAAGCCAATCTCCACCAGAAAACTAAACTACCATCAGCCCGAACCCTAGACTAGATAATCTCATCGAACCGTAATCTTTAATATTCTGCTATGCTGTCAGGGTAAGACGATGGATGCCACTCCCGCAGAACTTTAAATATTAGAGGTTACGGCCGGCATCCCGCGAGTCTATGGCTCAGTTGCAGGATGTTTGATTTTCTCTTGCGTGACTTAGGAAGATAGGATTGAGTCCCTGGGTGTCCAGGCTTAAAATTTCACTATGCTTAGTTAATGACGACCGATAAGTCGGAAGTAGTCATTCATAGTGGTGGTAACCCTCCTGATGTAAGTTAGAACGTCTGACAGTTTCATGTTAACAAGATGTTGATGGTTGCGCAACTTATCGTCATGTGGACTCCACAGTTACATAGTACTTGCCAATGTGAAGTAACCTTGCAGGAAGACTTGGTGAATTAAGTATCAAAGCAAACATACTTTTGATGTACGATTGAAATGGTTCTAGTTAAAGTTGGGGGATTTGGCGACCTTCACGTTGTGTTTCGACTATTATGAGGTCCATGGATAGGTGTAGCCCAAAGTGGATGCATTTGGAGGAGGTCGAGGTCCATATTACTAATGATTTTCGTCTTTTTTATGTGAGGCGGTCCTATTCGGAGATAACGCTACAGAGACAGCGTTAATATTTTATTTTTCGTAAATACTCTACTCTCAGGTGTTATTTCTACGAAGGATGGTTATAAGCTCCCTCGCATTTTAGTTCTTCCAAAGGATAGTGTACTGCTTTGTAGTTGGTAGCTTAAAATAAAAATATTTTTGATTGAAAAAGAGGAGAAACTTCTTGAAAATTCCGCTCAAGCGTAATAATATTCTCTTATTTCGCGTTTTATGAACCTGGCCTTCAAAACCTGCTGTCTGTTACTGATTTAGTAAAAACAATCATATGAAATCCCCTCGAAAAGTTCCATATCATGTTACAGATAAACATATATTCACGGTAATTATTTCAGAACAAATCAGTGATCAGTAGTCTTCATTTTTAAACTAAAGAAACGCAGGCAGAAATGAAATATTATTTGTTTTATGTTGGCATGAAAAAGAAGAGAAAATGCGCATGTAGTAGCCAGTGGAAGAGGTGACCCCCTACTGAAGCCTATTATTTGCGCATTGATCTATCCTATTATTGTACAAATTTACAGATGTAAAGAGTTACAGATGTATGTTTTCCCTCAGCTATTAGGGATTTGTATGCGGGCCCAAAAAGTGCAATTGCAAATGTCCGATGCCACTTTTCTGTAAATAAAACTCACCACTCTACACAAAGGAACAAATGGCATACATGTTTCGTACCGGCGTTGCTAAAGTTCGTGGCAGGGAACTATGGG